GGATTGATTTAGAAGGATTACATTTTTTTGGTGGTGTCAGATAACTAGCACTATAATCTAGCTGAATTGTATTCCTGAACCTAGGTTGCATATTTAAGAACCACTTACACATAATTTATTTAAGCTGTTGCATCTTCCGCGAGAGAAGTAAACTTAACCAGCATTCATTAAGCACCTGGCTGGTTCAAAGGTCTAGATCTTAACATTTAAATTGAAGACTTTATACTTGGAGTCACCCTAAATTTATGTAAAGCCTCATTGTTATACTTTTCTGTATTGTTAAACAGGGAAAAGTGTTGTTAGTAGAAGCCAGACGATGTGAGATGTTCAGTACTGTATTGCCTCTTTTTTTTTTTTTTTTTTTTTTTTTTTTGACAGGCAGAGTGGACAGTGAGAGAGAGAGAGACAGAGAGAAAGGTCTTCCTTTGCCGTTGGTTCACCCTCCAATGGCCGCCGCGTCCGGCGCACTGCGCTGATCCAATGGCAGGAGCCAGGTGCTTCTCCTGGTCTCCCATGGGGTGTAGAGCCCAAGCACTTGGGCCATCCTCCACTGCCCTCCCTGGCCACAGCAGAGAGCTGGCCTGGAAGAAGGGCAACCGGGACAGAATCTGGCACCCCAACCGGGACTAGAACCTGGTGTGCCGGCGCCGCTAGGCGGAGGATTAGCCTAGTGAGCCGCGGCGCCGTGTATTGCCTCTTAATTAAGATACTTTTGGTGTATATATATGTGTATATATATATACACACACACATATATATTAATTGAGTGTATTCTTGTCTGTATGTTAGATATCTTGGGGCAAGCATTGTGATATAGCTGGTAAAACTGCCACCTATGACACTGGCATCCCATATAGGTGCTGGTTCATATCCCAGCTGCTCTGCCACTTAACCAGCTCCCTGTCAACAGCGAGGGAAAAGCCATGGAAGACGGGCCAAAGTGTTTGGGAGACCACGTGGGAGACCGGGATGGAGCTCATGGCTTTGGCCTAGCCCAACCCTGGCTGTTGTGGCCATCTGGGGAGTGAGCCAGCAGATGAAGAGATCTCTCTCTCTCTCTCTCTCTCTGTCCCTCCATCTCTCTGTAACTCTTTAATAAAATAAATAAATCATAAGAAAAATATCTTACAAGTTTGGGCTGGCATTGTGGCACGGCAAGTGAAACCACCACTTGTGATGCCAGCATCCCAAAACTGAGTGATGGTTTGAATTCTGGTTACTCTGCATTTTCTGTTTTTTTTTTTTTTTTTTTTTTTTTTGACAGGCAGAGTGGACAGTGAGAGAGAGAGACAGAGAGAAAGGTCTTCCTTTGCCGTTGGTTCACCCTCCAATGGCCGCCGCGGCCGGCGCGCTGCGGCCGGCGCACCGCGCTGATCTGATGGCAGGAGCCAGGAGCCAGGTGCTTTTCCTGGTCTCCCATGGGGTGCAGGGCCCAAGCACCTGGGCCATCCTCCACTGCACTCCCTGGCCACAGCAGAGGGCTGGCCTGGAAGAGGGGCAACCGGGACAGAATCCGGCGCCCTGACCGGGACTAGAACCCGGTGTGCCGGCGCCGCTAGGCGGAGGATTAGCCTAGTGAGCCGCGGCGCCGGCCAAGGTTACTCTGCTTTTGATCCAGCTCCCTGCTGACACACCTGGGAAGGCAACAGGTAATGGCCCAAGTACTTGGGCCCCTGCCACCCATCCGGAGAATGAACCAGTAGATAGGAGATCTCTTTTTCTCTCTCTTTCATGCTGCCTTTCAGATAAATAAATAAATGCTGATTTAAAAAAAAAACCTTATGTGCTTTAAAATAATTATACTAAGTATTCTATTAATGTTTAATTAATTCCTACTGATTCCTATTGCCACAAAAGAAAAGTGTGAATACCTCCTCTTAAAAACAAGTCTGTTAGTGCCGGCGCCGTGGCTCAATAGGCTAATCCTCCACCTTGCGGCGCCGGCACACTGGGTTCTAGTCCCGGTCAGGGCGCCGGATTCTGTCCCGGTTGCCCCTCTTCCAGGCCAGCTCTCTGCTATGGCCAGGGAGTGCAGTGGAGGATGGCCCAGGTGCTTGGGCCCTGCACCCCATGGGAGACCAGGAAAAGCACCTGGATCCTGGCTCCTGCCATCGGATCAGCGCGGTGCGCCGGCTGCAGCGGCGGCCATTGGAGGGTGAACCAACGGCAAAGGAAGACCTTTCTCTCTGTCTCTCTCTCTCACTGTCCACTCTGCCTGTCAAAAAAAAAAAAACAAAAAACAAAAAACACAAGTCTGTTAGAATAAGTTTTAAAATTGTGGTGAAACAGAGGAGGATAATCATTTGTACGTTTTCATTAATGAGTCAATTTTTATTGTCAAAGCATTTATCACTTTTAATGGGAATGAAAGAATAAAATAGAGTCAGATTTCCTGCCAGTTGATTAAACTCATAATTTAGTAATCTTTCTAATATTATGGACATTTTCTCCTGAATGTCCAGTGAAGCGTGCATATGTGTGATGACATGTGATATTCTCTGTGACACTTGTTCTTTTCCACCAACTCCCCTTTCTGTTAGCATTTAGAATCCAACCTGGAAGTTTTCACTGCTGTGTTCCTCACTGTGATTTGTCTGGAATGTGCCTGGAACTTTTTTTTTTTTTTAAGGTTTATTTATTTATTTGAAAGGTTACACAGAGAGAGAAGGAGAGGCAGAGAGAGAGAGAGAGGGAGAGGTCTTCCATCCGCTGGTTTACTCCCCAGTTGGCTGCAAAGGGCGGAGCTGTGGCTGATCCGAAGCCAGAAGCCAGGATCTTCTTTCGGGTCTCCTGTATGGGTGCAGGGGCCCAAGGACTTGGGCCATCTTCCACTGTTTTCCTAGGCCATAGCAGAGAGCTGGATAGGAAGTGGAACTCCTGGGACTGGAACCGGCTCCCATATGGTATGCTGGCACTGCAGGCTGCGGCTTTATCTGCTATGCCACAGTGCCAGCCCCAATGTTCTTGGAACTTTAATGTGTATAATAACTTTTAGTTTTAATGCTCTTGCAGAATACTTCTACAGTCTTGAGAATGTTTTAAGTGATAATTAGGGATCTAAATTTATGTCAACATTCTATGCGTGTGGTGGTGATGGAAAACAACTAAACTTGTCTAGTAGCCTTGTAGGCAGTCTGTACATGCACGGACCTTGACGGTCACGTGACAGCTCGCTGCATGGTGCTCATTTATTTCTTATGTTGACGGTGAGGTGCTGTCCTGGTTTCAGATTCTGAAAATTGAGGAAAAGATGTATCTTGGTTGAGCGTGTGCTTCAGATATTACTTCTCTTTCCTTACCAATGTTTTTTGAAAGCTTTTTCTTGTTGATATTTTAAACTATCTCATTTTTTAAAAAGTAGCCTTCCGTTTTTATATTGTACTGGGCTTTGGTAAGGCAGGGCATCACACTATTTTGAAATCTCTTCACAATGGGGAAGACTATAGAAGTTAAAGACCTTTTAACTTTTTAGATGTTCCTGTCAAATTTTCTTAAAGTAAACTTTTGCTGATTTTTGAAAAGTTAATTATTTAGGAAATGGGTTTTGGATTCTCAAATGGGGAAGTTAAATTTGTTCTTATTCTATCTCTTTTTTCTGTCCAGTATTGCTGTGTACATTCTGTTTTTATTTTTCTATAGGCTATGTAGAACCAATGCAGACCCTCAACGATGTGCTAGCTCAGCTTGATGCTGTTGTCAGCTTTGCTCATGCGTCCAATGGAGCACCTGTTCCATATGTACGACCAGTCATTTTGGAGAAAGGGCAAGGAAGAATTATATTGAAAGCATCCAGACATGCTTGTGTTGAAGTTCAAGATGAAGTTGCATTTATTCCTAATGATGTGCACTTTGAAAAAGATAAACAGATGTTCCACATCATTACTGGTAAAACACACAGACACACAGAAAAACACCTGGTTTATGGATTTCTGGGGCAGGAGTGAGGGATAATGTTTTCTTTTTAAATGTTGGAGTAGAAATATATTCAAAGTTAATGAAGAAAATCATAGTTACATGTTAAAAAAGGAATATGTTATTTGTTCTAGATAATAATACATGTTCACGTTTTGATTAGAGGGTAGATTTGGAAAGAGGGATAAAGCTTATGAGGGAATCTTGAGTTCGTGTACAGTTGTTTACAGGGGTTCAGAGCATTTGAAAACAAACATTGCTTCCCTCTTAAAACTTAGCTTTGAGCCATTCTCTTCAGCAGTGAGATCCTTGATGGTCAGGCGGCATTTGGCTTCAGGTAGCAGTGCTTTTAAGAACTGGCACTGTGTGAAGTGAGGATAGTAGTCTGTGCATTGACCAGTACAGCAGGACTCAGCTGAGGTGTTTCTGAGAGCATAATCAGGTTCTAGAAAACAGAGGGTGTAGGAGTCTTTGGACATACATATTTGGGAAAGGGTCAGTGATTGTATTCTGTTTCCCCAAATGAGTCTTCAAGTTGTTATCATCATCTGACCCCAACAAGTGAATGGCACATTTTTCAAAAGAAAGGTCATGTCTTAGGACTTCTGTGTAGAATTTAAGCTATTTGACCATAATGATCCATTTACTAGTAGCCCCATTTATTAATGAGTAACAGTGTTAATTAATCAATTAGGCCTGTGCTGCTTTTCTGAAAGTCATTTAATTGGCCTGCAGGCTGGTCTGTGAAAGATAGGGAAATGTATAGTCTTTCTAGGCCGTAGTCAGGTAACAATGTATTTTTCATGGCTGCTTTTGATGAAGAGCCCAGTATAATTGTACTGTAGTAGGGAGTAGTGTGGGTGCTGATTTTTTCCACATTTCTGAGTTCCTTGCATAACATATCAGTGTGAGCTAGGTGGCTAATCACTTATGCACATTTTAGGAATAACAATCATTTATTAGAAGAACAAAATTAACAATCTTGGTTTTTTTATTTTGTTTTATAGGTCCCAATATGGGAGGCAAATCAACGTATATTCGCCAAACTGGGGTGATAGTACTTATGGCCCAAATTGGGTGTTTTGTGCCGTGTGAATCAGCAGAGGTGTCCATCGTGGATTGCATCCTGGCTCGGGTTGGGGCCGGTGACAGTCAGTTGAAAGGAGTCTCGACGTTCATGGCTGAAATGTTGGAAACCGCTTCAATCCTCAGGTATGTGCGTGTTCTTGTCCCCTGAAATCAGAAATGAATGTCCCTGTCTGGTGAGAACTCCATTTGCAGATTTGCATATTTATAAGGCATCAGAGACTATTTGTCTCAGTTTAATAGTTTTCCTCTGATCTTTAAAAGGGTTTTTTGAAAACTACTATTTTTCTTAAGATTTATTAATTTATTTGAAAGTTAGAGTTACACAGAGAACGAGCGAGGGGGGAGGGTCTTCCATCCGATGGTTCACTCCTCAATTGGCCACAGCGGCCGGAGCTGAGCCGATCTGGAGCCAGGAGTCAGGAGCTTCTTCCTGGTCCCCCTGCAGGTGCAGGGACCCAAGAACTTGGGCCATCTTCTTTCCCAGGCCATAGCTGAGAGCTGGATGGGAAGTGGAGCAGCCGAGTCTTGAACCGGCACCCATATGGGATGCCGGTGCTTCAGGCGCTGTACCACAGTGCCGGCCCCCAAACTACTATGACTTTTAAAGCTATTTGGTTTCTACAGGTGTTTGGCATAGCAGTTAAGGTATTGGGTCTGATATCCGGGTGCTTGGTTTTGATAATCAGTTATGGGTCCTTACTGCAGCTTCCTGCTAACGCAGACCCTGGAAGGCATTGGTGGTGGCCCGAGTGATTGGATTGCAGATGCCCATGTAGGAGACATGAATTTTGAGTTCCCGATTCCTGGCGTTGTTCTGGCCCAGCCCAGGTTATTATGGGCATCTGAGGTGTGAACCAGTAGATGAGAGCTCTCTCCTTTCTCTGCCTATGTCTGCTGTTACTCACTGTCTCTGTCTGAACCTCTCACATGAATCATTTTCTATATTTATTCATTTGAGAGGCAGAGAGACAGACATAGAGAGCCTCCCATCTGCTGGCCCACTCTCGACTGTCCATCATGGCTGAGCTGAAGCTGGGAACCAGGGACTTAGTTCAGGTCTCGACCCTTTTGGGTGGCAGGGACCCAAATATTTGAGCCATTGCCTGCTGCTTCCCAGGTTATGTGTTAGCAGGAAGCTGGACTCAGGAGTAGAGTAGAATATGGGATTCAATGGTCCCAACCAGTGATTTAACTGCTAAGCCAAATGCTTGCCCCTTTGAAAAAAAAATTTTTATTTTTTATTTTTTTTTTAATTTTTGACAGGCAGAGTGGACAGTGAGAGAGAGAGACAGAGAGAGAAAGGTCTTCCTTTGCTGTTGGTTCACCCTCCAATGGCCGCCGCTGCAGCCGGCGCACCGCGCTGATCCGATGGCAGGAGCCAGGTACTTATCCTGGTCTCCCATGGGGTGCAGGGCCCAAGCACCTGGGCCATCCTCCACTGCACTCCCTGGCCATAGCAGAGAGCTGGCCTGGAAGAGGGGCAACCGGGACAGAATCTGGCGCCCCAATCGGGTCTAGAACCCGGTGTGCCGGCGCCGCAAGGTGGAGGATTAGCCTATTGAGCCACGGCGCCGGCTCCCTTTGAAAAAAATTTTGACAAAAGTTGTCTCCTTAAGATTTCTTATATGGGGCCAGCGCTGCAGCTCACTAGGCTAATCCTCCACCTGTGGCGCCAGCACCCTGGGTTCTAGTCCCGGTTGGGGCACCAGATTCTGTCCCAGTTGCTGCTCTTCCAGTCCAGCTCTCTGCTGTGGCCTGGAAGTACAGTGGAGGATGGCCCAAGTGCTTGGGCCCTGCACCCGCATGGGTGACCAGGAGGAAGCACCTGGCTCCTGGCTTCGGATCGGCGTGGTGCATAGTGGCCATTTGGGGGGTAAACTAACAGAAGGAAGACATTTCTCTCTCTCTCTCTCACTGTCTAACTCTGGCTGTCAAAAATAAATAAATAAATAAAAAATAAAGATTGCTTATATGGGTGAGTATTTGACGTAGTGGTTAAGTCACCACGTGGGACACCTGTATACTGTATTGGAGTGCCTGGATTCCTGGCTGTTGTGGACATTTGGGAAGTTAACGTGTCTGTATCTGCCTTTCAAATAAACACTAATAGTAATAATTTTAAAAGCTTTCTTATAGTACATTACCTTATATATCTCCCTACTACCATGCTTTTGCTTGTGTTGTTCATACTACTTAAAATGGTCATTCTTGCCCTTTACCCAAATCCATTCTAATCTTTAAGACCTCAATGATGGAAGTTCTCCTATAAAGATTTTCTAGACTATTTTGCATACAGTAGGTCCTTAGTTAATTATAACTGAAAGATTGAAGACTTTAGTTGGCAAATCACAGAAAAAGAAGTACATAACCAACAAGCACATGAGATACTGTCAGATTTGCTGATAAAAGACTTAGATTTGGTTAAAGTTAGAAAAGAATGTTGACATAAAGAATGGTAATATTTGGTTTTGGTAGGGCTTTGGCAGTCATACACTTTTATGTGACCACCAGCAAGAATGCAGGTACTCTTGGCATCAGACCCCGGTCCCATCTTCATTCAGTTTTATTTTTAAAAAACCTTGGCTGACTGCATTGGCATGGAATGAGTGATAGTGGCTTTATTTGGAAATTCTTTATTTATTTGAAAGTCAGAGTTACACAGAGGAGGAGAGGCAGAGAGAGATCGATCTTCCATCCAGTGGTTCACTCCCCAATTGGCAGCAAGGGCCGGATTTGTGCTGATCCAAAGCCGGGAGCCAGGAGCTTCTTCCAGGTCTCCCACGAGGGTGCAGGAGCCCAAGCACTTGGGCCATCTTCCACTGCTTTCCCAGGCCATAGCAGAGAGCTGGATCGGAAGTGGAGCAGCTGGGATTTGAACAGGCGCCCATATGGGATGCCAACACTGCAGGCTGGGGCTTTACTCGCTACACCACAATTCTGACCCCAGTTACTGCTAATTTGATGGTAACCCAAAAATGTATTTATTTTTCCTTCCATTTAATTATTTGTTCATGTCTGTGTCCATTTTTCTTAAAAGTCTTTGTGCTTTTCATTTACTCTGTTGAATTATTTTTACCTTAGGATTATTACTCTTATGTTTGTGGCATTTTTTTCTCAGTATATTGTCTTAATTTTGTGTTTGCATTACCTCATTTTGTGTCATGGAAGTTTTCACGTGGTTAATGTTTTTCAGATCTGCAACTAAAGATTCTTTAATAATCATAGATGAATTGGGAAGAGGGACCTCTACCTACGATGGATTTGGGCTAGCATGGGCTATATCAGATTATATTGCAACCAAGATCGGGGCTTTTTGCATGTTTGCAACCCATTTTCATGAACTCACTGCCTTGGCCCATCATATACCAACAGTTAATAATCTACATGTCACAGCCCTGACCACTGAAGAAACCTTAACCATGCTTTATCAAGTGAAGAAAGGTGAGTATCTAACACTGATGTACTTGTGAATTCAGAACATGACAGTGCAAAATTTAGTAGGCTTGACATTGTTAATTGCCTAATTTCTTCTGAGTTACTATGATCATTGATTATTTTAAAGAGCACATTTAGCTATTAACTCATAGTCTGGGGTCAGAAACATTGATACATTATGCATATTTCTGTGTCTTGCAGTAGGATTACTTGTTCTAAAGCAGTGGTACAAAGAATAATCTAGACTCCTTTTTTTTTTTTTTAAATACTTATTTATTCATTCATTTGGAAGGCAGAGTTAGAGGGAGCAATTGAGAATTTGATTTTCCATCTGCTATTTCACTCCCCAAAAGGCTGCAACAGCCTGGGCCACGCCAGGCTGGAGCCAGGAGCTTCATCCAGGTCTTCCACAGGGGTGCAGGGGCCCAAGCACTTGGGCCATCTGCTGCTGCTTTCCCAGTCACATTAGCAGGGAGCTTGATCATTAGTGGAGCAGCTGGAACTCGAACTGGTGCACATATGAGATGCCAGCTCTGCAGGCAGTGGCTTTACCCATTGTACTGCAGCGCCGGCCCTGATAATCTAGGCTTGAACATCAGCACACATAATTCTTCCTTTCTTCTTTCCTTTCTCTCTCTCTCTTCCTTCCTCTCTCTCTTTCTCTTTCGCTTTCTGTTTCTGTTTCTTTGATTTACAGAGAGAGGGGAACAAAGAGATCTTCCACAATGGTAGGGGCTGGGCCAGGAGCCTGGAGCTCCAATCTGGGCTCCCATATCTCTGGCAGGGGCCCAAGGGCCATCTTCCTCTGCTTTTTCAGGCTCATTATTAGGGAGCTGAATTGGAGTGGAGCAGCCAGGACTTGAACTGGCTTTCATGAGATGCCAATGTCCCAGGCAGCAGCAGCTTAACCTGCTATGCCACGGCGCAGTCCGAGTCTGGGTTCTTCTATCCTTTATTACTTAGGCTTCGGTTGGGATCCTTGTGAGTTATGTTTTTGCATTATTATTGCTAGGCATTTAGCATGAAGTTGTGGTTCTGCTTTTAAGTCATGTTTGTGTTGTGTGTACCGTAGAAATGGCTTCAGAATATATATATCTTAAGGATTATTTGGAAGGCAGAGAGACTTAGAGACACAGAGTTCTTCCATCTTCTGGTTCACCCAGCAAATGCCAGCAATGTCTGCGACTGGACCAGGCCAAAGCCAGGAGCTAGGAACACAGTCTGGGTGTCCCATGCCAATAGCAGGGACCCAGCTACTTTAGCCATTACCTGCTGCCTCCGAGGTGTTCATTAGTAGGAAGCCAATGGAGCTGGGACTCAAACCTAGTTACTCTGCTGTGGTATTCAGTGTAACTGCTGTGTTGAACACCCCCTGCCCCCGCCTTACATTTTTTTTTTTTACAGTGGTGTATATATAACTGAAGCAAAAACAGAAGCTCCACAGTAAACTTTGCAGGCGTCATTTGTACTAAATGCTTAGAAAGGATGTCTTGACCCAGTTTATTTCCAGCAAATGGGGATAAAGATAATATGCCTTGTCTATAAATTTACTAGTGATTTGTATCAAAAATCCATTGTCATTTAAGTTTTATTTATTTGTTTGAAAGGCGGAGATACAGAGAGAGAAAGAAGGAGGGAGGGAGAGAGAGCTTCCTTCTGCTGGTTCTCTTCCCAAATGACCAAGGCAAGGAGCCAGGAGCTTCCTCTGG